ATGACAGGAAATCAAGGGGAAATACGAGGGAAACGAAAAGGGAACTGAAAGGGAAATGAGGGGAAATGAAGGGGAAACGAAGGGAAATGAAAGACAATTAAGGGGAAATGAACGGAAACGAAGGGAGGACTGGAAATGACGGGAAATTCATGGGAAATGAAGGGGGGAAAGGACAGGGAACTGCAGGGGAAATTGAAAGGAATGAAGGGGCCACGACGAGGAAATGAAGGAGAAATGAAGGAGGAATTCATTGAAGGGGTAGTAAAGCGACAAAGGGGCAAGGTCGGCAGACTGAGCCGGAGAGTCCTCAAAACCTACAAACGAGTTTGAGGCAACAGCGTTGGCTGGGTTCGACCAACAGCGTCCGCACCTACGAGAACGAACAGAAACAGCTCAACAAGAGCTGGTTTTCAGGGAACCGAGGCTCCGCCCCCTCCCCACGAAACTCGCATCGAATACGCGTCCTGTCCTGGCAAAATCACCAGCACCACCGGCAATGCCCACAGATACGAGCCTGGCGAGGCTCCGCAGACAACATCTGGGAAAATAGATGGGTGTCCCCGGTAAATCTCACTTGCCCAAAGGACCTGGAAATATAAGGTTAACCTTTTGGGACCTCTACTAAAAATGGACCAAAAAGGGAATACAAAAGGTCAAAAGGTCGGCTTTGAACAACTGAGAAATGGAATCAATGGGATCAAACCCATCTAGACCAGCCGAACCCATCTATTCCTAAACCAACCGATCAAAAGGACACCTATGCTCGTTTGAAGGGAGTCTAACTTGGAAGTGGAAGAACTTCTGGAACCAACCGCTCTGCCAGCAAGTTCCCCATGCATCGCAATTGCAACTGGGGTCTGCCTTTGGACGCGACATGAGATTGGAAGTCTCAACAGAGCAAGCTTGGCATGAAGGAGTCAGCCATTTCAGCAGAACACTGGTGTTACGGTTTGCATCTTCGTCACAAGCCTGCCACCCCCTGTACCACTTAAGATTCCTACCTAAGGAAGCACCCAACTCAAACCCAGGCAAGTCGTCTTATTGAGGGTATGCTTTCGTGAACCAAGGCAAGACATGCTGGTTTCCCACAACCTCGCATCTCTTTCCACGTGCCCAAAAATGAAAGGTGATCACCTCTTGGGGTCATGAATAAACAGTTGCTTCTCTTAAAATTATCGGACCTCCAAAAGGCTTGACTTTTTTAAATACCAGCCAACAAAAGGTGCGCGAAAACAAACAACCCCCCCAAATGCACATGGGAAACCTCAAAAAGGTCCAAGGCTGATTTGGACTGACAAGGTTGATCCTGCCTCATGGGCCTTCAGATCTAGTCACTGGTCATCTTTTCCAGTGGTTTCTCTTGCTCTCGCCACTCTTGCCACTCTGAATCAGTTGGGCAACATCTGACACTCCAATAGAAAGTCAAGGAAAATGCAATTTCAGTTCTATCGGTTTACAAGATATTCAATTGCAACACGTTCAGTTTTAATGATAAATTCAACTTCTTTGTTTGTTTTGAATTAGACTTGTCTACACAAACTACAAAAAACGTTGAGGAGGCACCAGATATGCGGGTTTGGAATCGCGGGAACCACAAAGAAGCCCCCGGCAAAAAAAAAAGAAACACGGCCTTCCAGCGTTCGCCGTGGAGGGCCTTCAGTGAGACCGCATGTGATCTAACTCGGCGTTCATGCTAAATATTGGTGTGTGTCAAAATTAAACCACCAGGAATTGGACCGCAGGTTGTAGTCCAAGTTTCCATTTGCCGATCGGGCAAGCCATCTCGGGGTTCCCATACTTGTGCCCCACAGCCATCTGTTTCGAAGGATGTTTAACTCACATTTTGGTGGACGTGGACGGCCTTAGCGAAAGGAACACTTTTGTTGAGCGGTGCCCTGTTTTATCGCCAATGCTGTAAGGGCCTATATGGCCATGGGTCAGAAGCCCTTACCCCCAGTGAACATCCCAATGACCACTAAAATGGACTAAAATGGGTGGTGCACTTACCCCAAAAGGGTTTGACCCACAGCCATATATTCAGCGTATGACGGGGTTGTGGGATGCTTCAAAACACATCTTTGCGATTCTCAGAGCAAACGATGAGTCCCCCTACATTGGCCTTTTTCCAACAATCATGGAGGTGGACAGGGGTTTTTTGGAAGGAAAGTATCCTTCCTGTATGCTTGTCGGAGAGAAGGTAGGGAAACTGGCCCCAGAGATGATGTTTTCGGCTCTGGTTTCTGGAAAAATCACCGGAATTTCAGTACGGCTGCGTTTCCAAGGGGGGGTCAAAGTCGGAGCGGAGCTTTCCCAACCCGGGAAAAGGTGACATTTCATGGCTTCATGTGCGGCAATTTGCTTATAAGTCGCCTGGACAAAATAAGAATATGTCCAGTAGTGATAGATTCCCTTTAAAACCAACAGGGGAACACAACAAAATATTCTTAACCAAATGGAAGATGAGCGGCAATTTGAGGACCATGTGGCCCGCTCACACAAAGCATTTCATGCGCAGTCCAGGGCATCCGTTTCGGACAACAGGCCGCATTGCGAACTGCAGCGCTTTTTGACTTGCCCATCATCGGACCATCAACCTCCCTTTGCTTATTCGTCCCTGGCAAAGTACAACATATGTCCAGAAGTGATTGATTCCCTTAAGAACCAACAGGGGAAAATAACACATATTCTGAAGCAAATGCAAGTCAAGCAAAGCTGCACGCCCAACTGCACGGAAAAGGGCTACGAATCGCCAACTATGATGGCTGCTATCTTTGTGTAGGGTTCTTCCGGAAATCTGGAAAAGTTCTAAGTCCGCATTTCTTTCTATCGCCAAACTGGCAACCCCAAAAAATGCGCCGTTGCCTTTTGGCTTCGCCTAAGCCCAAAGGGGAACCAAGACGAAAGTTTCACGCCAGCATCCCGATTCGAATCCAGCCCACCCTGCGCGCGTTGTTTTTGTTTTTTCCTTCGGGAAGCGAGCCGGCAGTGCAGTTTCACCCAGCTCCCAGAGGTGTTTTAAGCGAAGCCGCTGAGGCCATGGTCTCTTTTTGTGGGTATGCTTGTCTTAACCCAACCGGAAGCCAATAGGGGTTCCCTATTTTGAGAACCCCAATTTCTTAAAACCCTGGCCATGTCCAGAAGTTATTTCCTGCAGAAAATGCTCAATGTTCTATCTGACCTGCTGAAGCGTGACTAGCCGAAACCAGCCTTGAAGAAAAAACACACCCCAAGCAGCCGTCAGGCTCACGACTCCGGTGTCACCGGTGTCTGGAAAGGCTAAGCTAGCGCTGCAGTTCGCATTGCCATGCAGCTGGAAACTCCCAGTGGCATCTAAAAACCAACATTTAGTTTGGATGTGGAGAATCTGTGCATCCTGGCCTGTAGAATATTTAGGGAGAGGAACAGGTGAAATCCACTATGGCAGCAAGCTGAACAAGGCCGTTTCTTAATACCATCCTGTAGGATAGCAGGACGCGCTTCACAAACAACAACCGTGCTGCTCCAATGCCTGACAAGAAGCTGGAACAATGGGACATGTAAAGCAAAAGAACGGACACCAACCCAAGTTTAGACACCACACCAAAACCAAAATGCTTGGCTGGAATTAGGACCCCAGCAAAAAAATGATATGTTTTGCCTGGTAGTGGAAAACAAAGGGAACCCCCAAACAAATCAAACAAAAAAAAAAGGGTAACAATTCTGGGGAAGAATGGAGTACCAAACCAAACCAATGCGCTCAAGTTTGGAGATTCGAAGGCTCGGAGCAACCCTGGATCAATGCCAAGCCTTTGCTGTGAACCGCTTTGCCATGAATTGCGGGATCTTGTAATACGTATCCCATCAGACTAAGGTCCTAATAGATCCGCTTTAAGCATTGCCCACAAGGCTCGGGTGTTGTTTTTTTGGTAGAATTCCACTATTCCTCCATTTGCTTAAGTTCCCAAATAATTCCAGTAGTGATAGATTCCCTTTAAAACCAACACGGGAAATAATATTTGTTTGTATTTTATTTTCTTTTTATTTTTTTTAAAAATGGAAGTTTTTGCAAAGCGCAGTCTCAGGGCCCCGTTTTGTGTATTTGGATTTTGACTTCTCGGCCTGGATTCCCACTGTTGCCGCCGGAAACCAGGTTTCCGGCGTCTTTTTCGTATTCTGCACTCAGATGCTCAGTGACCCTGGGAGAAAAGTAATAATAATAATAATAATAATAATAATAATAATAATAATAATGATAATGATAATACTAATAATAATGATAATGATAATAATAATAATGATAATAATAATAATAAGACTGATAATGATAATAATGATAATAATGATGATAATGATAATAATGATGATAATGATAATAATAATAATAATAACATAATAATAATAATAAAAATAATAATAACAATAATAATAATAATAATAATAATAATAATAATAATAATCATAATACTAATAATAATAATAATAATAATGACAATAATAATAAACAAATCCGCACTTTTTGTGTGGGTCGACTTTTATGGGGGAACCCGTCCTCTTTTGGTCGACTTTCCTGGGAGTCGGAACCCTTCCCCCCCCCAAAAAAAAAGGGAAGTTTTGGGCGCCACAAAACAGAAGGGAACTGGGTTTGCATCCCGGGCGTGCAGCCCTTGAGGAAGCCTTGGTTCCGGCCCCATGTGAATCCAACACGAAAAACCACCATGCTCTCGAGGGGGCCGTGCTTGGGCCAGGTGAGAGCCCCCCAAACACACCACGGGCCCCGAGACGGCGAGTCAGACTACGCGGGGCTGCAAAGAAAACCGCGGATGGATGCCTTTTTTTCTTTCTTTGTTGGGAACTCACAAGTTGCTCACTCAATTGCTTGGAGTGTCCAAAATGAGGAACTCCAACCTAACAACTGCTAATGTGATTTGTTCAAAAAACAGAAACGGCCCCCAAAAGGAATCTCAATCAATGTGATGCTGAAACACCCAACCTGAGGCGTCACCGGATCTTTTCTTCAAAACGTTCCAAGTGCCACTTTGGGAGGTTCCCAACCGGGAAATGGAGGAAACCCCGAGCAAGGAAAGCGAGGGGTTGCAAAGTGGCAACCCATCGACTGCGCGGCTAAAATGCCGCGGACTCGCATCGCAAAGACGTGGATGCCTCGCAATCATCGCCTTCGGCGAGATCGGCAAAGTAGTCGAAGTCCTCGACATCTTCCAGGTCCTGCAGAACACTATTTGGGTTTGCTACCTCCAGTAGAGAGGTTAGAATAAAGGTATCAACTGTTTTCTGTAGTCTGTTTTAGTAAGGGAACCCTCCCCAAAAAAAGTTGGTAAAAGGGCACTACTGGGGGACCTAGTCTTCCAGGTCCTGCAGAACACTAATTGGCTTTGTTTTGAGGATACTCTCCGGTCTACTTTCCAGACCTGACGCTTCGGGGTCCTGTGGCTTTGATCTCGGACAGGAGGGTACCAAACCTTTGGCTTTCCACGTTCCCGGAAGGATACGTAATATGAGGAGCGATGGAAACATCGAGTCTCTCACTCCAAAGCTGCTTCAGAGATCTCAAAGATTGATCTCAAAGGACCCAGCGCCAAGGGGTCCCAAGTGTTCCATAGGGTGTAGCGTCACGTAGGTGGTGTCTCATAGGTTCAGTGTGTTCCAGCTGGATGGCGGAAGTTTTCAAAAACGAGTTGGCTAGTGGGAAAAGAAGCTGTTCGACCATACTGACATGAATTTGCAGGGTGCTTCTTGAGTGCTCTTGGGTGGGGTGTTGGATTTGTTTTGCCGGATTCTCAACGCCACCGCATTGCTTGGCAACACTGGCTTGAATGCTGAATGCGCGACATTTTCTTTGGACAAGCGCTGGCCCCTTACGCAGAGTCACTTACAAAGAGTGACTTCTACAAGGGTCTGTCTCTTTCTTTGGAGACCCCCGCAAAGAAAATGGGGATTCCTGGTTACCTTTAAAACCACCCCAAAAGTGGTCGTCTCTTTTTTGGAAAGGCTGGGCTTCCTGGTTGACCAATTTAAAATGTCTTTTTGTTTGGAGACCTCCCGGGAATTCCTGGTGGTTTTTACCTTTAAAGCCCCACAAGTGCCCTCAGAAAACGACTTCAACTCCCAGGCTGAGTCGACTCTGGGCACGGCACCGGGTGCCCACTCGCCTCGGCCTCGAGCTCCGAGGCAGCGTCGGAGTCGGCAACGAAGTCGGGGGTGGCAGCACGCCTCAGGTCCGCCGGCGCTGAGATTTCCTTCGGATGCGGCTTCCACGCATGGATCTGCCTACCTTTTTTGGGGGTACACCTGTCGTTTTTTTTTTTAGAGAAGCCAAACAGAAAACCACCTGGTTACGATTTTTCTATGGGGGAGTTCGTCCTTCAAACAAACACATCCAGTGTCCTTTGGCGATCAGTCCCTTTGATTCGAAGCCGACGGGCCAGCCATTCGGGTCCCCAGAATTCCGTTTCACCTTGGTGGATATTGCTCTGACGGAGGGAAGTCCATCATTTTTGATCAGGCACTTGCTCAAAGGACCTGGAAATCAAAGGTCAACTTAAAAAGTCTAAAAGTGAGCAAAGGCAACAGACCTTAAAAAGCAAACAGGGCGATTTTGGACTGAGCAACAGCAAGCTGTGGTACTGTACTTTGCGTGCATTTCAAAGCCGAACACTGCGCGCAACCAACCGTCTGTTCAATCCGCTTGGCTTTGACACAGTCACTGGCTTGTGGCTTGAGCAACAAGTTCAATGCTATGATTGTATAGCCCTTGACCAAGCAATGAAGAAACCTGCCAACCAAACAAAACGACTATTGCAACTCACCTGGTGGGTTCCGATGTCTTTTGAAGGAATTTCACACCTGAAACGGCTCGATCAACATCCAAAAGAACATTTGAGCGCATTGCGGAAAGCTCCGTGATCGCCTTGGGCGATGACGGTAAGCAAGACAGTATGATGCACCGAGCCGCTCGACCTCTGTCTTGGGCTTCTTCTTTTTCTTCTTCCTGAATCCGCTCGAACTCGGCAAGCCACTCTTAAATCCAAGACTGAGTCAGAGCCGAGGGGAGCCATTCCTTGCCCCTCGTTCTTATTGGCCGCCTAGTGGCCCCAGACTGGTCACCAAGCTGCATATTCAACAAATTAACAAACCAATCTGCTCGGTGACCAGTCGAAGCATTGGAGCCAAGGCGCTTCTTCTTCTTTTTCTTCTTTTTCTTGGGCTTCCAGCCGCCTGAGAATCCCCTGCATCGCTTGTGAGGGAAAGTCTTGACGGCCGCAAGAAAAAAAGCTTGTGAGTGTGGGGGCAGATCACAACTTCCGAGTTTCTCAGATCGATTCTCGCTGTCCCGCACAAAATGGCAATGTGGACCCTTAAACGAGTCAGAAATCCATGCTGTGTCTTGCTTTCGAAATCGGACCCCCCCAACATGGTGGTTTTCCTGATGGTGTCCCTTTAAATCCAGCCAAAAGGGGGTTCCCACCCATTCTGAGAAACACCGAATGGACCCTGAAGCAAGGAGCTAAATCTGCCCGAACTCCGGATGACATCATGCACCGGTTGGAATGGATCAAAGCTACGAATACTGGGGCCGGAGAAAAACACACAGAAACCTGGGCTGCCCTCAGATCCCGCGCTAAAAGTTTAACTTGTGGGTTAAATGGAAACTACCAGTAGACACTAAAAGGCTAAACAGCTAAGGAACCGGATGGCTGGGAGCCACCAAAAAACCAGGTGCAGGAGTTCGTTCATGCACAGTAGAACAGCTTCTTGCAGGTCAATTGGACGCAAGTTGGCTGCTCGCATCGCCGTTTCCCGCAGCTCACCACGCCCCGTGCGCTTATGCAATGCGCTGAACAAACGAACTGTGGTTGCTGAACAATCGTTTCACCCACGCTCACAAGAACATGGGTCCTTGTTTTAGACATCCCAATGCGTTGAGTACATGTAGATCTTGAGCCTCCACATGTTGTTGTTTCCTTTCCCTTTTTGTGTTTGACTTACATGATTCTTCTCACCCATCCAGGGTTCCTATTCGTCTGTGGGAATCCCTCCCCAAACAAAACACCGACCAGCCCTGCCCCAACAAAAATCGAAACGGAGTTTCCCTCTGCCGCGGCACTAGGCAAATAGCGCTCCAGTTCGGACACCAGGGACCTCAGAATTTTCGGTGAGCCAGAAGGTTGGCTGCGTTTTGGAATCTCCAAGGGGCGAGAAGGGTAGGTCAGGCAAGTGCCTAGTGAGCCTGGGTATGACCCACTTAAACAACTTGTAACCACGGCTTTTGTGCTTATAAGCAGGCTTGCTAACCACTGACCTGACGTATCCGATCGCCCCTTTTAAGTAGGCCCCTTTGCGAAACCCCAAAGAAGACCGACCAGCGGTCTTCAGCGCGACCTGATGTACGATCTATGCAAACTTCGCCCAAACCAGCGGCCATGGGAAGACAGGTTGCCGAGTTTGCCGGTAGTTCATTTGCAAAGAGATGCACTGCCGCACTCTTCCAAGAAAAGGGTCTGGCGGCATCCCCATCTGCCCGGAGCTCCGAACCACTTGTCGCCTATCTGGGCAGAGACCCCAGAGCTTCTCCAGCTGCTGGCGAAAAGAGAAAAGAGGCACCGTGCGCGATTTGAAAGAAAGCTAATCACACCAACTTCGAAGCATAATAGCTTCTTGGTAGCTCAAGGTGCCGGGTGATTTGCAAGTTCGGGTTCATCGTCAATTAGATTTCGGCTTGCCATCGAGATCTTGGCTACCCTTCAAGACAAAACCCGAGCTAAAGAATGCCATGTATCCCATTCAGCGTACGCCTGTTGTACTCCACACCGCGAAAGCATAGACACTCCTAGGGATGCCTATGGGCAATGCAGCCTGGAGTCTATTGGGGTACTCTCGAAGGGGTCAGACCAAAACATGCCTGCATATTGCCAAGAAAGGGAAATATGCGGGGCTCCCTCCATACTTTATTTCCCTCGTGCCCACATTCCGGGAAAGTTTGTATTCCAGAAGGAAGCAAACCCCCTTGGCCATTGTGGCTCGGTATGCGTGCTGTTTATGCCTTCTGAACCCGCCCAAAGAGGGTGAAGCAACAAGGAACATCAAAAAGACCCCCTCCAACCTTCCGGACAGCCGACAGAGCCCCCAAAGCATCCATTGTATCCGAGGCACTTCCGGCCACGATCTGCCAAGTCCTGCGCATCCGTACCGGTTGATGTCAGACGTCACAGTGGTCAACCCCTGCTCGTCGAAAACCTCCCCTTGGACTGTCCAATTGAAGGGTTGTCAGTTCCTTCATGGCGACTCAAAATCTTGGTTGCTGTGCACCCCTCTGCAAAAAGTCTTTAACATTGTGTGGGCTCAATGAAAGCAGGCCGCCTCAGTTGTTTTTTTCCCCATCACCTTTTGCAGGTCCAGCGGACCAACGGAAAAATCAAATACGACCGCGGAGTGAACAAACTCTGAAACATCCCATCCTGCAGCGAATTTTGCAAAATGACAACATCGCGGGCGCACACAGCGCCCAGCTTGGCCTCTGTTGCGGGTCAGCAACCAGCTTGTGATAAGACATCAAAAAGGGCTGCGTCCAAAGAATCGACAGAATCGACAGAATCGGCAAGACCGACTTATGGTTGTCTTTCCTGGATTGAGGGATGACACAGCAGGGGTCCTAGACTTCTTGAGACCTGGGTCCTGCAGCCTTCAACGCGACTAGAGCCAGGTAGTAGACCCTACATTAATGTGCCTTTTTGGGCTGTCACTTGCTGAAGTCAAGTTTCTTGCGCTGGAGGACGATTCTCTCTTAAAAGGGGATGCTCTAAACTTGGTTGACGTTGGAAGGGGAGCAAACAATTAAATTTTAGCAGCTAAGTGGGGATTTCCCACTAAACCACAATAAGCAAAAATGTAAAATGTTTCCCAACAACAACCATGTAAAGAGGGTTCCTTGTGGTACCGCTTGTGGTCAAGCACCAAGCAGCCGGCCTGCTCCATACGTTTCATGAAGCTCTTCAGGCGGCTCACGCGCTCCTCCTCGGCCGGTGTCAAAGTGATAGGTATTTAGGACCCAAATGGTGTTCCTTCTGATTTCCCCGCGGGGACCCCAAAAGAGGCCGAAGCCCTTTCAAGGCTCTTGCCAAATGCGTGGAACGGAAATCCCCTTTGAGTGGTACCAGTACTCCCCCAATTCAGGAAGAGTTCAAAAAAATCGGATTGGCCCATACCCGAATTCCACTTGAGCAGCAAAACCCAGACTTTTTGGTTCCCACAGACTCTTGCAATTAGATTTTGTCGGAAGGCCTTGGAAGGCTAGCAACGGGGGAAACCAAAGCACACCGCACCCAAACAACATGTTGATTGGATGCAGGACTTGCTTGAACCTGCCGTAAAATCCGATCCATCTACACGCACCCTCATTGGAGCTTTTTCAACCCAGATCAACACCCCAAGCCTCCAAAACCATCCTGGCAACATGCAAGAGGACCCTTGCCGCCCGTATAACAGGATTGGTTGGGGCACACCTCCTCATAGCCTCTAAACTGGGCTGTTCCCAGATCCCTTGCAAAAAGTTTAACTTGAAGTGGTTTGTGGAAACTACCACCACGCCCCCAGAAACCTGACAAACCCAAGGAAATGGCTGGGAACCACCAAGCAAATGAGGGATTGAAGGAACATGAGCCATGTCCGGATTGTTTCTGTGCACACAAAAATGGGCAGGGTGTCTGGTGGGCTTTGAAAGGCAGCGTGTCGAGATAGCAGCCGAAACAAAGGGAATTCTGATCTATGTTGCTTTCTCATTTTCAAGTGGGAAGGGAAACAGAGCCGGGGGGGGGGAGGGGCGGTTTTGTGGGATTTGCTTAATAGAACAAAACACGGGATTTCTATAGGGAGGGAGGGGCATTTTTGATATAGCCCGCTGGAACACCAAGATTTTCCGGGGATTTGTTTATGTACAGGGGAATCACCACCTAAGAAACAACTGCGGAAAATCCGCGGGGAAATCCGCGGCATGCTTGCACCCCGTAACCACAAAAATGTGCTGACCCTACATGGGCAAAAAGAGTGGGAGTCGGTAACAAAAATCCGCCGACGGAGGTTGGACAAGCAAGCACGTCATGTTCGGATGGGGCGGTCTCATGTGAATTCATATATACAAGCGTTCGGCTTTCTTGCCCACAACGGAAGATCATGAAGACACGTGGTTAAAAAAACATGCGTGCGCAACACTTCAGAAGGCACGTCTGCTCAACACAGCTCGACATGAGCACGCATTTCCAAAGATGAAAATCCGCGGAAAATCCGCTCTGCAGGAACTTGGCCAGAAGAGTTGCCCTTTGCCATTTCGTACAATTGTCCTTCCGCCAACAGCTTACGCCCACTGTATGCGCGTGGACTTTTTGCTTACGCGCAGACCTCCCCCATTCTTTCCAGGAATCATTCTTTCTAGAAAACCTCCAGAAACCCAGGGGACAACGGCGATCGGCTTTCGAAAAGAACGATGGCTGAAAAGAATGGGGAAACAACCCCTAGATTACGAAGCATGCACACGGAGGTTTTGGGCCCTGCTCAAATGACGCCCAAAGTAACGGGCCCTTGAAACCCGGCAGCCAGCCAAAACTAACCAAGCGAACCAAACCAACCAACCAACCAACCAAACAAACAAACAAGCAAGCAAAGCAAGCAAGCAAGCAAGCAACCAAGCAGGCAAGCAAGCAAGCAAGCAACCAACCAACCAACCAACCAACCAACGAAAACCAACCAACAAAACCCAAACAATACACCAACGAAAACTAAACAACAAGATCCAAACAATAAACGGTAAACAACAAAATTAACCAGCCAGCCAGCCAGCCAAACCAGCCAAAACCAAGCAACCAATCAAGTAAGCAACCAACCAAACAACCAACCAAACAAGCAAGCAAGCAACCAACCAGCCAACGAAAACCAACAAACGAAAACCAACCAACCAAATCCAAACAATACACATCAAACAACAAAATCAACCAGCCAGCCTGCCTGCCAGCCAGCCAAACCAGCAAAAACCAAGCAACCAATCAATCAAGCAAGCAAGCAAGCAACCAAGCAAGCAAGCAACCAACGAAAACCAACCATCAAAATCCAAACAATAAACATCAAACAACAAAATCAACCTGCCAGCCAGCCAACCAGCCAGCCAGCCAGCCAGCCACCCAGCCAGCCAAACCAAGTAACCAATCAAGCAAGCAAGCAACAACCAACCAACGAAAACCAGCCATCAAAATCCAAACAATAAACATCAAACAACAAAATCAACCAGCCAGCCAGCCAGCCAGCCAGCCAGCCAGCCAGCCGGCCAAACCAGCCAAACCAACGAAAACTAACCAACAAAACCCAAACAATACACACCAAACAACAAAATCAACCAGCCAGCCAGCCAGCCAAACCGGCAAAAACTGATCAATCAATCAATCAATCAATCAATCAATCAATCAATCAATCAATCAATCAATCAACCAACCAATCAATCAATTAATCAATCAAAGCAATCAATCAATCAATCAATCAAATCAAATAAATCAATCAATCAATCAATCAATCAATCAATCAATCAGTCAATCAGTCAACCAACCAACCAACCAACCAACCAACCAACCAACCAACCAACCAACCAACCAACCAACCAACCAACCAACCAACCAACCAACCATCCAACCATCCAACCAACCAACCAACCAACCATCCCGAGCGTGTCGATTCACCGAACCGGACGGCTCCTTGGGCAGCGCGGACGGCATCTTGGACTGAAAGGTCTCCCGCGCCTGCATGGCCTTGGCCCCAAAGCCATGGGGTCGATCCAAATTGGCGACGCCGCTCTAGAAAAACAATCAGAGCCATATATGTGTGTATATATACACATATGTATATATGTATGTATACCTGCAACCTCCGGTTTGCAGAATTTCTGCCGCCTCGTGAAAAAGCAATTGTTTCTGCCGTTTGGATCCAAAAGAGTCGGTTCAATCAAAAAGGGCCGCTTCAGGGAAAAACAGCCGCCTCGGAAACCCACCTTGCCCGCCTGCCCGCCTGGAGCATCAGGCTGATAGCGCGCCAGGCGTGTTTCCCTTTTCTCGTGCGGATGGATTTCGGCCGGCACTTCAGCCGGGATGCTCAGCAAAGCCTTTTGGATTCAGACTGAAAGCTATTATGCACCTTTACTTGTTGAAACAAACAAGCTGTAGCAATTCCTTTCATAAGGCTTCAGGTCAGGTTTGGGCTTTCAATCCTGCTACAAACCTGCGGTGGACAGCCTTGCACTTGATTAAATAAAGCTCTAGAGTCCTTTGGGGAAGCCGTGTTGACACTCGCCTGCTAAGACGGCTGACTTTGCCGACCACATCCTCATTCATCTCACAACCCCAAATCTGAGGATTGGGAATCCAGTGGACGAAAGGGTCAGACAGCCATTCAAGCAAATCATGCTTTGTGTGGGCGATCATGTGGAGCTTGCTCTTCATGGCGAACCCAGTGAAATGCCACTTGTGGAGGCTCAGAAATGCGAGCGCACGGTAGGCCGTCAAAAACAAATGAATGTCCGAGTACAGCTTGGCGGCGCAGTGCCGCGGAAGCCACAAATTGTGGTCATACATCATGTTGGTGAAGTCAATGGCGTGAGTTGCCCCCCGAAGCATGATGTCCAAGGTCTCAGCGTGGCTGGGGTTCAGCAGGTCATTCTTCAGCCCCACAAGGAGCGTCTTCAGCCATGCCAAAAGTAGCATGGAGTCTGATCCCTTGCAGTTCACCCAACCAAAGCTGTTGTGATCTGGGGCATTGAAAAAGGTGGGTGTGAAGGAACGAAGTCCTGCACTTTTCCCCTGCGTCAAGCACCATAAAGAGAAGTGGGTGTGGGCGCGTTGCAGAAGCACTTCTCGCTTGTAACTTTCTCCATTGAGGTGAAAGTACCCAAACCTGCAAAGCAGTAACACAGTGCTGCCCACGAAATCTCTGAATATCCCTGTTTTTGTGTTGTGGAAAACGTCCCGGCGCATGACGCGCTCCGGGCGGTCCTCTTCAAACACCAAGCGAGTGATCAAGGGTTCCACCTCCCATGGACGGGCAAACCACCTTGTTTGCGCCCAGGATGGCTCGTGCTGAACATCCTCAAACGGCGCGTTCGGGCCCCCGGCTGCGCACTCATGACACATCATCAGACCGGCGCCGATCTGACTCTTCCAGCATCGTGTGAGGTTCCCCTCCTTTTTGAACCAGTCTAAATCTCCTTTGCAACCAGTTAGCTGCACCCACCATTGTGTGCCACCAACAGTGATGCCATTCACAGCCAGCTCCTGCAGCTCGTTGAAAATAACTGTCAAAATTGCTTCCAGCACTCCACCAGACTTGTACAGGACACTGGGAAGGGCACACAGGACATACTTTGTCAAGAAGCTGTTTTGCCTCAGGTTTGTCACCTGTTCTGCGCGTAAAGGGTCACAGGGATGTGGGGCAGGTGTGGAAACATAGCCTGTAGAAGTTCGAAACCGCTTCGCAAACGTTTCAGCAACACAGCACTGGTCACAGCCAGACGCTGGCACCCTCCGCTTTCGGCCCTGAGATGCTGTTTGCATGCCAAGGCAAGTCTCCAGCATAAGCACGCAGGTGTTGGATTTCTTCAATCCACGGCCTTCATCTCCGTGGAAGCACATCGCTAGCGTTCTGGAATACCGGTCTTCATGCCCTGCTTCTTGGAACATTGTGTGTTCTGGATGCGCTACTTTGTACGCGCACCAAAAGCTTTCTAGGTTTTTCTTGCCCTGGGCCATGTTCAGGAATCCACCGGTCACCAACTCGGGGGTTCGCTCCAGAAGAAAAGTCACAAAGTCCTTCGGGCCCAGGTAAGGCAACTGTTGATAACTCTGCCCATCCCAAACGGTAAGCCAACTCATCGGCACTTTCCAGGAAAGACCCCAGCGCCGAACAAAACGGTGAGTGTCTCGTGCCGCATTGCGGTGACTGCAAAGGCTCTTGCCACCGACCTCCTCCCGCGCAGCCTGTGAGAAGCTGTGGACAGATGCCGCTGGGACCTTGGGCGGTGAGAACTGCGGGGAGCGGGGTCAGTGTAGAAGAATAACGGGTGGAATTTGACGGGCTTCTTTGTTAATGCAAAGTCAAAAAGAGTTCTGTGCGCGGACCCAGATCAAGGCTTCCCTTAGACGGACTTGCGCGACGGGGCCCCTGGCGCCATCTGAGAACACTTCTGCGAAGTTCTTGGTCAGGTCTCCAGGGGTACCAGCACGGGTGGAGTCGTCAGCACCTGGCAGGCAAGCCGTTTCCTGAAAGATTGCCAGCAACACTTGCAAAAAGTTGGCGTTAGTCGAACAGCACCGTGTGGCATTTTCCCCCAGCCGCGGCAGCGCTCTAGCGCCGGTTGAATTGAAAGCCCAGACTGGCACCGGTGCCCAAATCATGGTCAAAAGTGATGTTTTTTCCAGCAAGGTACCATCACGATCAGAAGAGTTGGCACCAGATGCTCAGACATACTGTTGCTCACACTGGTCCTCCCACAGTGTGGAAAACAGCAACTCTACCTAAGAATCGCCGAATCAGCCCCTCTGGCTCCTCTTTTTGGGAGAAGGCTTCTCGACCTTTGCCTTGCACTTTGGAACTGCCTTGGCCTTGGCCTTGGCTTTTGGCTTCCTCCGGACAACTTTTGTTGGATCCGTCTTGGGAGCCGATGCGCTGCTCTTAGGCGTGAATGGCCTGCCACGTCTTGGGTTTTTGTTGCGCACAATGAGAATCCAATGAGCAGCACGGTGCCCTGCCTTGCACGAGCTTCAAGGGCCAAAGATTCGGAAGACCTTGGCCGCACAATGGTCCTACGTTTGCCATGAAAGTGGCTGAGGTGAGGGCGCAGCGCAGGCGGCCTCAAGCTTGACCCTCAGCTCCTGCTCCCGCCTTGGCGAGAAGGGAGGACAAGAGGATAACAAAGGTTAGACACGCAAAAGTTTGGCCACGAATTTGGAAGAGTGTTGATGAAAGTAACTTCCCCAAAGCTGTTGTGCAGAGTGGCTAGCAATTGTTTGCGGGCAGGGCACTCCGCAGTGTAGCCAGATACAACACCTGCAGAGTAAGCTTCAGAGATCTCCGCCTGATGGGCCTCCAACTTCTCCACAAAGTTGTCCAAGGCCTTTCCGAGCCTGGCCGGAAGCAACATCAATGTTTTTGGGCTTCACTCTCTAAAGCAGTAGAGGGGCCTTCGCTGAATGTCAATGAGAGACTCAGCTTCGTTGAACTTCTGCGCCATGGCCGCCAACTTCGTGATTCTTTTGGCCAGGCAACTCCTTAAAACTGTCGGCCCCCAGGACCAATCAAAGGTTGATGCGTGAAACTGCCAATCATCATTCGCCCTTATGGCCGCTGATAACCGTTTTGCGTTTTCAGCGCTGCACAGGCACAAGTACTTGTTGCAACTTGCGCTGGGGAGGGCTTCCGGGTCGAGCTCAGGGATACCCAGCTTGCGGCGCTTGCTTGCCTCCTCCCCTTCGGCTTCCTGCTCCTTGATCTCCGTCAGGTCAACCACCCCACCTGAACCAGTGAGATAAGAGGTTGACCAAATTTGTTGAACTGCAGGCCAATAGCGCAAGTTCAAGCCAATCTCTTTCAGTAGTGTTGAATGCTTCAGGTTTGTGAATTGCCAAGGTCGCCTGCTTCGCCGACACCATCTCCGATAAGTGAGGGCGTGTCCAAGGAAAGGCCTCCTAGGCCGGATTCGCGAGCTCGGGCCTTCTTCGTGACAGAAGTACGGGATCTTTGCCTGCAGCATTGCGGGAGGGTTTCTCAAAAAAACGGGTGTGTGCAAAAGCCCTTTCAAGCATCAAATCCTTTCAAGGCCAACGTTGTCACACGGAGTGTCCGAGGAACTTCATGGTAGCCTTCACAGCCCGCTCGACATAGAATAGGATTGTTTTCTCGTAGGGATCTCGCCTGACAGCATTTGGACTGCCCAATCAACACAAACCACCTTCACAGGCCTCAGCAGCTTGTTGGGCTGAGTCTGGCAATGATCTTTAACTGCCTTGATGCGTTGCCTCAGTGAGTAGGCACAATGGACGCCTCTTTTGAAGACAAAACCCATCGATGCAAAGGCGCTCTGTCCAACCCCACTCATACATAGCCTGCTCAGTGACGAATTCCCCCTCAACCGTCACCTCGCACTCCCGCATTTCCTCCCGCAGGATCTCCACCTCCGCGACAAATGTCTCCTAGGCAACCCGGCAGAAACTCGAGCCCCGAATCACGTTTTTTTCAAGTGTGTGTTGACGGGCAAAAAGCCTGAGCTAAAACCAAGGGTCTGCGCAATACCCGCACTGCTTAAATATCTCCTCAAGAGTACGCCGACCTTGACCACCCTGTTGCCATTCCTGGAATATGGTTTCGCTGACTTTGGCCTGGCCGTCAACTTTCCTTGTAAAGATTCTTCGGGTGCGGCAACGAATTGCATTCAGCGAAATATGGTGTTTGCCAAGCTCGGGCTTTGGCGCGGTCTCATCCCCAATCACTGGCACGTGCACATTGACATTGAGCGTGTCAACGAAGTCGTTTTTCGGGGAATCTACCAGGGTCATGTCCTCTAGCTCTGTCTGCGTCTCGCCTCCTGCTTCAGCAGGTTGGCCGTGGCCTCTCTGCGGCATTGGCTGAGCAGGCAGGGCAGGGCTTTCTGTGTCGCTCAAGGTTTCTTTCTCAGGGGAAGGTCCTTGGGCGTCTTCCCACTCAGACTGGCCTGAGAAACTTTTATTGTATCCCGAAGTCTCGCTAGATTCAGCTTCATGTAGCA